TTTTTGTTTTTGTTTTGTTGTTGAGATGAGACACAAGCGCGCCTTCGCCCCTTGTGCTCACTCTCATCTAGCACCCATCAAAGCCTGACCAGGGAGTCAGTTGATAAGAAAATCTATCTACATTTCTCTTTCCAGAGCTCGCTCGGGCCTACCGATCTCACAGCAGTGTAGACCAACCTCTGTGATAGAGCGGTGACAGCAGTGTAACCTCTGTGGTAGACTACAAAGTCTACGAGCTACAGCAGCACCGCCACCTCCGCTGCTGCAGGACGCCACACTCTGTGAGCCTGTAGCAATGATTTTGTCGAAGTTGTTGTAGTCAGCAGCAGCAGAGGCGGCTGCGGCGGCACCTTCGTCTGCAGCGGCAGCGGTGGGGGCGTCCTCATGGCCTGCAGCAGCCTCTAATGGTGTTGAGGATTTTTCGTATTTGTTCTGTGGTGTCATTCTAAATTCCTCAGGATGTGGCTCCACCCATGCAGTCGTTCTCATTTCTTTTTCGGCCGAATCCACGCCGTGTTTCACTCGATGCTATGTACATAGGCTGCGGTAGCACACTCACAGCGTCAACAGTGGATCTTACCCGAGGAGATATTTATGTACATTACCTCCTCTCCAACCCTTCAACTTCGCCGTGACCCCCACCATATACTTCACTACAGGTGGTGTTGGTGGTACGTCGGTGCTAGAGCACCTGCTGGAACGGTTTGGCGAGATCTGGCGCACCGGCATCCAGCGGACACACGGCGTCCTCCAACACGACGACTTTATGTTCAAAGTTGGGGCCCAGTGCCACGCATTGTTCAAGCTCTATTCCATCGGCGCCACGAACACCCGGCCAGCCCACAACCCCCAAGCCAGAGGCCAGTCAAGCCTCCGGCTTGAGCGTTGAGGGCTTGCTGCCTGCTCGAGCCACCGATGGTGTAGAGATCTAAAATGGCGTGACAATGGGCCCAAACATTTCGGAGATGAAGTTCTCGTGTTGGAGGAAGCCGTGCATCCACCGGATGCCGGTACGCCAGATCATCTCGCACTGTTCCAGCAGGAAATCTGGCTCCGACGTGCCTCCAACACCACCCTTAGTGAAAGGGTGGGGGTCACGGAGAGGGTGCAGTTTGAAAGGTGCGAAGAGGCGCTCTACGGCATCGCATGAGCGCACGCTCTTGTCTTACAAAACCAAGCTCTTCATCTACCAATTCTACCGGCCTTGGCCACTTTTCTCGCGATCAAAACACAACCATGCCAACATACGTAGTGAACCTCGCTGCTGTGTTGTCGGACGTATCACTCACATATATCGCTAGCGACCTCCTTGTGACCCCCTGCCCCTCTCCCCGCC